GTGGGAGAAGTCCCAGATGGAGCAGAGAAGGGAAACTAGAATTGAGCGGAGCTGTGTAGGAAGGCAAGGGCCGGGGCAAGGGCTAGAAGAGAGCTAAAGTACAGGCAGAACTGAAAAGGTGAAATTTCACTATTTGAGATTCATTTTGTGAATTAAATCAAATGAGCATGTTTTGTAYAGCCCACAGATAGATCCTAACTTGTTCTAGGACCCCCGTATTAGGTCACCTTYAAAGTAACWGTGGTCCACTGAGCAGTTTAGTTGAACAGTCCTGTATTAATGTCTCATTAATGTCTTTAAAGCCAGCWTTGACCATGAACTGGTCCTGGTTGTAACGTGGTTTGTCTGTGTGTCAGCTCTAACAGCAGCAGCAGCACGTGGTCAGCTGTCCGTCTGCAGGATGCTGCTGGACCAGGGAGCAGCTGCAGAGCAGGGCAACAGGCAGGGGGTCACGCCGCTGTTCAGCGCTGTCAGAGGGGGTCACTCGCAGGTAACACTTGGAGCACCCACACACAGTCAGGCTGACTGACACTGCAGGAGCCTGTRGGGTCTGACMGCTCATCTCTGTTAGGTGGTGGAGCTRTTACTGAGCCACGGTGTGGAGGTGAACAGGATGGACCAGCAGGGTCGGACCGCTCTGATGACAGCAGCCTCAGAGGGACACCTGCGGCCCTCCCAGCTGCTGCTGGAGCACGGTAACATCACCTGTCCATACAGTACACCTCTAACTCAGCTTCATTCTGTGTTTGTCACCCAGCACTGAAAGGTTAATGCAGACTATAGTATTTTAGATATACTGTATATCTATACCTGACCTTAAAAACTACAAAAATAACCAGAACTGAATTTGGCCACAAACAAACATACAAATCTCTGTGGGACAGGGATTTGTATGAACAAACGGATATAATTCAGTCCAMTCTACAGATGTGCTCAAATTGATTTAGTAGTTAAGAGCCAGTCACAGCACACACTTTTTGTTAAAGAAAGAAAACACCTAAAAAAACACTAAAAATTAACTAATTAAAATCCGACGTTTCTTTTGAATTTTGGATCAACAAAATAATTTTTTAGAAAACKGATACTGGCCTTGACAAAAGGATGGTTTAAAGTTTTCTGTAAGTTAATCTTCACAACCGTCAAACATTGATGACAAATTGATGGGTTGAATAATTTGAACTAAAGAGCTCAGAACAACGTCCATAAAGATTAGAAGTGAACTCCAAGGTTCATCAGTTTGTCTCTGGTAGGTGTCTTTGGGAAGCATCAGCGTTTCTGAGAGAKTGTCCTTTGGACAGATGAGACAAAACTGTAGGTTTTTGTCCACAAGTCTCATCAGATCTGTGTCCACAGACCCAAACAAGAAACAAAGACCAGAACCCTGGACCTACAGTGAAACTTGGAGGGGGCTCAGTTCTGTTCTGGATCAGGGTGTCTTGAATTTGCGCAGGGTACAGTGAAATCTCAAGACTATCAAGGCATTCTGGAGCTAAGTGTTCTTGGAARAGTCAGAAATATTGGTCTCRGTCACGGGTCATGGGTCCAACGGGAAAATGATTCAAATCGCACAACTAAAACCACCAAGAATGGATCAGAACTATAGGACTGTTCTGAAGTGTCCTTCTGAGCCCTGATCTAAATGCTTCTGTGGCTCAAACACCTGGAGCAGGAACCTTTCAGACCTGGGACAGATGGAGCAGTTTGCTAATGAGAAGTGGACCTGAACACCTGTGCACAGGCAGACCTGAACGCTGTAATATTAAATTAAGGGTTCTTTTTGTCAAGGCTGGTTTGATTAGTTTGTTTCTTTTTAAAGGGATCCACGATTATTTGTAACATTAGACTTTATTTGACAAACATATATTTTAAATGTAAAATAAAGACTGTAAAAATAC